TTAAGGTAACTGTTCACCCTCTCTGTCTCTAAAAATAGGATTAAAGTTTATAAAAAATGACTTTTTAACAATAAAATAAATAAAGCTAGAAAAATGCTATAAAACTAGATAAGTGATCTCAGGAAAGTGAGAATGATAGCAAAGGAAAAGAGAATATTTTCTTCCAACCAGTGTTAACAAATCTATGCCCTCTCTTCTCACATTAATGCCCCGCACCATCTACCCATATCTCTGCCTTTGGACCTAAGAGCAGTGGATAGGGGAACATTACACCAGGGAACAGAGTAGGCAATAGAAAGTTTGTGTATTCATCGTTTTTCCTGCACGTACTTTAAACTGCAAGAATTAGTATGGAACTAGAGTACTAACAGTTCTTTGATTAGACTTTTACCACTCCACTACGATGAAGAAAAAAAAAAGATTGCAAATAAGATATTTTTTTGCTCACAGTGTAGTGGAAGTTCAATCTACTTTATAGCTTGCATGCAACAAATTGGTAATTAGCCTTGCATAAATAAAAGCATGACATTTTGTACTCTCGTTAAAAGCAAGACTTCCTCTGGAATCTGAATCCACCCTGAATACAATGGTCCCTAGTTGTGATCAGAACTATTAAGATAAAAATAGTCTTTGAAGGAAGCATCTTTAAATATGGCAGTTGTGCATTTCTATTGGATCTCTTGATTTCCTGCATGGGCTTTTCAAACTTTTTGTTCAAATACGTTGGTTGCATTCATTGAGCATCTTTATCTAATTTAGTTTTATAGTTATTTCATCTCTCGATTAGTTCTGTGCAAGCATAGGTGTATCTGTAGGTTTGTGAACTCTCTTGCCACTATCAGCTTTCTGGCACATTCTTTTTGTAGATTATATCTTGTTGGTCATGATAGTGACTATTTGTGATCTCCTTTTTGGCGCACACCACTTAACTGTGTTAACTTCTCTTCTACAAGTTTATTTCCTTTGCACAGATTTCGAACAATTTTTGTTCAGATGTTCTAGCTTTTCCAATTGTGATTCGGTGGACATTTTGTTGTCCCATTCTTCTACTGATCTATCTATGATTTCCCCATCAACTAACTAAAAACAATATAATCTACATACAAGTTAGCACCTCTTTATCATTGAGATGTTTTATTTCATTAAGAAATATATTGGGAAGTAACACAGTGTGCACAAATCTCCGCATATATGTTCAAAAATTCCTCTATTATAAGCAGTATTCTTTTTTATACACCTGTATTTACTTACAGGGTGTCTGTGCCTGCAGATTCTGTAATGTGACAGGAGTACATCTACTCTCTCAGCTCTGCTGTGCAAACTCTCATGTCCTGACTATATCCATTGTCTTCATTCCTTGACCTGGACTGAAAATTACTTCTCTAAAAATGATACTTAAGGGATGGCTGAGCATTTAGCTTCACTGTATACCCTGCTGAATCCTTTCCCTATTCTCAAATTCCTTTCTATTCTCTGATTTTTCCTCAGTATTTTTCTCTGCATTCTTCTCTTTAGGACCTAGGATCTGAATGATTTTGAACTCCAAAACACATTATATCTGTTCTGATTTACTCCTTTCTCTAGAGCTCAGTTATTACTGTTGCTAGCATCAGCATTACAGACATCTTAGGTTCTGCATTTATGTCCAGATTAAAAATAATTGGTTTGCATTTTGTGAAACTTCATGCTCATTAATTTTCTTCTGCAGCATTGTCCATTGATCTTCTGAACAGCTCTTCTCCAGCAACAGTGCTGTGATTTTCAGCTTTGTCTGTTTTCTGCTCTGTGCTTTCATTTGCAAGTTCTTGTCAGATAGGAAATACAGTGCAATTCTCTTATTGTTCTTCAAATGCACTTTGTTTCTTTTTATGGCTATATTTGTTACACTATAAGATCCACTTGTATTTGTGCAGTTTATCTATGTGCTTTCCTCAGTTCCTGCTTCAGTTTTGTTTTGTTTTGTTTTTCTTCCTTTTATTCTTGAATATTCTGGCATTTTGGTTTTATCAGCCTACTTTTCATTTGTCAATCTGGATCACATAATTTTGTTTACTGTACAAATTCCAGTCGTTCCTTCCAGTTGTTTTAATTAAGTGTACTCGTCCATCTTCCAGTCAGAAACAAATTCTCTCTCAGGGTCAGAACATATACTTCTAAAATTGTAAGGCTGTTTTCTCATCAAGAGATAATTGATCATTTTTCTTGGCCTTTATATTGCTGCTGCTTTGCCTTTGCAGAGGTCAGTATTCGTCCTATTTCTGCTGAGGAGTTTTATAATTCATTTTCCCTGCTTTGGTCAACTGGAACTTAAGATAACTTAGGGGAACTTCTTAATTTCCCTCAAGTTAACTTTAAGGGGAAATGGCTGCAAGATCAAAGAGGGTAGATTTAGGTTGGTAAAAGTCTTTCACAGTGAAGGTGGTGAGACACTGGCACAGGTTGCAGATAACATGTAACAGATTTTAATACTCCATCCCTGGAGACATTCAAGGTGAGGCTGGATCAGGCCCTGGGCAACGTGATCTAGCTGTGGTGTCATTGCAGGGGGGTTGGACTAGATGATCCCTTCCAACTCTAAGGGTTCTATGATTCTATGATTCTAACTTAGGAAATACCACAGATGTTTCAAAATATCTGTTATCTTATATGAGGCAGTGAGTTATGAAAACATACGTCAGGTTAAGGGTGGTGTGTCTGACCAAAACCATGTGAGAACAAAGAAAGTCTGAAGCACAGCTTGTGACAGTACCTGTTTTGGGACATGGAATATAATGCTATATATTACTTTGAGATATGAAGGGAGTTGGTGCATAGAGGGAGAGAATGATGTTAGGATCTGGTGGATAATGGTTTCTGGAGGGGGCTGCACTGAACCAGGGCATAATTAAAGATAATAACCTGATAGTAAAGAAGGTGCATATTATTAACATGAGGGTCAGTATTAGGAGAGATTGCCAACACTGATCCAGAAGCCCTGGAAATCTATTAATTTTATTCTTATTATATACCAAAACTGATTTGATCCGAAGTTTCTTTTTTTTATAACATTCAGTGCCTAATAACACTTACTACCTTAAGTGTATTTTGTTTTTTTTCAGGATAGTTCTCTACAGTGGTTCCATCACATTTTCAGCATGTGTTGATCTTACCACGGTTTGGTTCACTTCTACATGAGCAGGTTTAAGCTGCTACATTACTTTTGGAGCAACTCACATGCTTAGTCATCCTCACTGGGTCAGGGAAGCAAATCTTCATACAGTGCTTACATAGACTATGAGTTCTTACTCTTTGATATTTTTCCTGAAGGAGCTTCTCTCCTTTAACAACACACACTTGCAGTAAAAGAAATATTTTCTGACATATCACACTTGCAGGAAGAGGTATGAAGTGAAAATTCATTATTTATGAGTTCCATGAACAAAGCATCATTAGATATATTCAGGAAGAAATGCTGTCCATAAATATCTATAGGTCTATAAATATCTAAGGTGTGGGGGGCAGAATGGCGAGGCCGGACTCTTTTCAGTGGTGAGTGGAGACAGGACAAGGGGAAACGGCCGGAAACTGCAGCACAGGAAGTTCCACACAAATGTGTGCAGGAACTTCTTTACAGTGAGGTGACGGAGCACTGGAACAGGGAGGTGGTGGAGTCTCCTTCTCTGGAGATGTTCAAGACCTGCCTGGGTGCCTACCTGTGCGACCTGCTGTAGGGAACCTGCTTTGGCAGGGGGGTTGGACTCGATGATCTCTGGAGGTCCCTTCCAACCTCTACAATTCTGTGTGTATGTGTGTGTGATTTTGCTGTCTCTAACACCTGCAGAAATACCTGCTGAGCTGTAATGGAAAGCATACATTGAACCTAGGAAGGTTATAAAATGATGCCTTTTCAGAATCCCTGATTTTACAGTGAAGAGAAGAATGTCATTACTGTTGTTTCAACCGTGCAAGCATATGCATATCTTCCTGTGAGAGAAGTGTATATTATAAAATCATATTACTGATGTCAAAATAATCACATAAATATTATTTTTGCCTATGTTTGAAAAATAATAGCTGTGATTTATATTTTAATGAAGTTTGTTGACTTTGTTAATAAATAACGTATCAGCTGTCGTTCTTAGTTTTTATGTCTTAGATATCTTCATGCTGCAAAAGAATAATCTGAGTATATACTAAGAAGCTGTAACTTCTAACCCAATCTTCAGCAAATTAATTTACTTGTTTCCTCTGATTAGATTTTCCTTCTGTAAAATAAAAATATACAAATGTACTTTCTTCAAAGTTACAGTTCTTACAGTATTTTTGAAGATTGAGGTTTAAACTCATCAGATTTTCAGCATTTCTTATTGCTATTTTTATAGTAATGATAAATTTTGCACTCTGTTGTCACGGACAATTACATTAACTTGATCAGTATTTTACACTTTGCTTTTTGTAGGGTAGGTACTATTAATGTGCATAACAGTTCACATTCGCTATCTCAAAGCCTTGTATAAAACAGTGGGGTGATGTTTCAGAATATTGCTCTGACGTAAATTTGGATTCTTACCCTCATTTAATTGATAGAAAACTGAGACCAAAGACTGTCAAAATAAACCTAAGTGAGATGAACCATCATCTTAACCATTGTACACAGGACTGCATAGTTACCAAATATCAGAACTGGAACAGAAACTCAGACTTCATGTCTCAGATAAAGCCAGAGCAGTCTTTAATTTAGCAATACTAATATGTACAGTCTACAGGTATCATCTTTTGCATTTATGGAGTTAATTTTTCATTGCTCAGTTTTAGAGTATTTAGCATTTTTTCACTGTGCTGATTAAATTGATAATTACACTGTTTTTACCATTCAAGCACTCAAAAATGATTTTTAAATCTTTAAATGGATTGTACTAAAAGTCTGTTTGCATTATGTTTTTTCGTCATGTTCTCTGTAAAAGCTAAACCAATGCAAAATCATGGATTCCCAGTTCTAAAGAAACCACTCTTTTTCATAGGAGGAAGAGCTGAGGAAAAGTGGAGAAGCTAAATATGCGCACTTGAGTGATGAGCTTCATGTATTAATTGAAGTGTTTGCTCCACCTGGGGAAGCATATTCTCGTATGAGTCATGCCTTGGAAGAAATAAAAAAATTCCTCGTTCCTGTAAGTGTCTTACAGCATTCTTCTGTGACTGTTCATGGTTTCACTACATTAAATTTGTGCCTTCTTTAAATGCCTTCAGCTCTAGAAAAAAATTAAGTGGTCTGTCGAAGATTCAGCTAAAGGAGATGCTAAACAGGCCATCAATTGTCATAGTTGACCCTATAATTAATGTCTTTTCTTATTGTTTTAATGTTAATTTGTCCTATTTTTTTGGTTTTTGAGGAGAGAGTGGACTGTTTTTTTCTGGTTACAGTCATTAATCATTAGCATGTAAGTAAATTTTCAAGATTTTTGAATGTTTACATCTATAAAAACATTTAGATATGTCATAAGGTAACGACTTACCTAAAGTAATCAATGATTTTTGTCTGGAGAAGACATGAGCAAAACATTCCTCAGATTTTACACTGATTTTTCTGTTCAGACAGTTAGTCTTGACTCAGATCACAATTTAGCAATCCTTCATCAGCTAGGGAAGTGCTCAAGCAGTCACTAAAGCCACTTCTTTAGTACCTTTTCAATATTATTTAAACTAAATGCATCATTTTCTGAAATATTTACTGGCTGATTTTTCTTCAAGCTCCCTGAAATGGATTTTCTCTACATTTATACAGTAGTGTGTGATAATTTTGTACTTAAAATTGTTGTAGACTTTAAATATATACACACTAAGTATTAAGTACTACGTAAATATTTATATGTTATATACAATATATATATATAAAGTACATATTATATGTATAATACTTTTGTACAGTATATTGAGTTATTATCTGCAGTCTATACTGAGACTGCTAAGTGCTTTAAACATGTTCAGAACTTGCATTTGTTAAGAAAATGAAATAGGAGCTTATTTCTATTTGTAGAAATGAATTGCAATAAATGTTCATATCTCTTAATAATAACAGGATTCAATTAATGTGTTTTTATATGTGATATGACGCCAAGATCAGAGGTATTCAGATGAAGCATACATCTATTTGCACGGCAGAAATTAAATGTTTTATTTGGTTCTCGCTGGAGGTTCTGGATGTGAAGAAAATAAAATACATCTGCTATACTTAAGTACAGAATTTTAAACTTTAAAATTTTTAAAGCAATTATACATTTGTAGGAGTACAAGATAAGTAACTTAAATCATTACAAATAAGATTAATATTTGTTTTAAATAGCATGATTGATTGGCACCAAGTGAGGGACAGCAAAGAACCTCTTTTAAAACAGTTGACTTTATCTTACAGATTCTCCCATTCTATCCCATTTTATATTTCCTGATTAAAAAACAAACAAACAATAAACCAAACACAGATCATAAAATACTATTCTATATGTTCTTATATGGGAGAAAGCCATGGGACAAGAAAGAAGAAATTGATGATTTCTGAGGCTGTTGAACCTGCAGTACAAAATAAGATCATTGTTATAACGCTGACAACATAGCATGGAATTGTATTTCAGCATCAAATTAATGGTGAGATTCCTAAAAAATCTGGAATATTATAGCTAAAAATGGCAGCAGTGCTGATGATAAAGACTGCCAGCATTTGTCCTTTGGATAAACCTATTTCCAGTTCATGATCTCGCCAAGCTTTGTTTTTATAAATGGTTTCTTTTTAAAAAGATAGCTTCATATGTCTTCTTCGTTCTGAAAAGGAGCCACTGCTTTATAGTATTACATAGTCTCCATTTCTGTGTGCTCTTGATTTTTATCATCTATCACATATTCTGTCCAGCCTGAGAAAATCCATTCTGAGTGAAGAAGGGGGAGAGAGTATTCCAAAGAGAGAAGTATTAAAATTTACGGTGTATTACTGCTTAAAATATTAAAATATTTAAAATATTCAGAAACTGACCAAGCGTATCTTTTGTGTGACACATTATTTATTGATAAGGATTGTATGTATTCTCCATCACCAGTAAAACAGCTGAAACGGAGGAAATAAAAATACCCAACAAATTCTTTGTTATGAGATTTGGAACCTGGCTGGCAGTGGCAATAATCACTCCAAACAAGTAACAATTATACTTTATGATTTGTTTGTTGGCTTATCCCCTCTGCTTCATTTCAGATTTACAGGAATTTACAAAGCAATTATTAACTGGCTGGTTACAGCATGCGTCAAGGGGTTTACACTGAAAAAGCTTGCATGAGATAATTTCCATTTTGTTCCCTATTTACAACATCTCTTGAATTTGTTTTATGATGTATTGTTGTTTATAAGGCCTAATTTATTGCAGCAGTGAATATCAGAATTGCATTGCAGGACTGGAAGCAGTAGAACCTAACAGTTTTATTTATACCAAATCAAGGATGTTATAAACTATTTAAATGAGTTTTCACACTGCTTATGAATTTTGCTAAACTTAAGTGAAGTATCACCCTTAGAAATTACATTGATTGTTTGTGTCAGTAAGATGAAAGGACATTTTCATACCATATCTGTAAGTTGGAATGGGAATGAATTTTAAAGCAAGTACACGGCAGTCATAACAGAAAAAAAAAAACAAACAGTTGTGGAATAGGGCAGAAGAAAGAAAAAAGAGAATAAACATTTCCTTAACTTATGCAAGGTTATAATGAACAAATGCCTTCACTTTCGTTTGGATTAATTAATTTTTGATCTTGCCAAAAAACAGCATTGAAATTTTTATTTTTAAGGTTTCACCTCAAATTTAGAGGTAGAAAACAGTTGCCAGTTTATACTGGTTCTTCCAAATGTGAATACATTTCTAAGTCAGAAGCAGCTCAGCCTCAGGTGGTGTTTTGGGATCCCTCCAAGTGGCATTTAAATGTATGATTTAACCCAGGATGTCTGCAGCCTTCAGTTGTTCAGTGACTGACAAGCTGCTAAAGCCGAGCTGCTTCATTTACTGTCTGCTGCTTTCATTTCACAAATGGCTTGCAGTCTGCGTGGGAGCCACACTCAGGGCTTTGCTACCTGGTGAATAAGATTAATTTTGAAACTGACTTTGCTGGATCTTTTGTCTTTTATGCAGAATGTTGGCTTCTGGGGATGTGAGGAGACTTTACTAATGTCAACTAGAGATTGTACTCTGTTGTTTGATATGTCAAAAGAGCAAAGGGGATTGGAGTTTTGAAACTTAACTCCTCTGTGTAATATATATATATATATTTTTAATTATTATTTATTCATTTATTTATTCAATTTTTTGCAACATGATAAAAAGGAAGACCACAAAATGCTTCTTAAAATCTATGTTTTAGGGTAAAAATCACATTTATGCTGATTATAATATAAATTGTGTTAGCCAGCATTAAATATGTGGAAAGTACAAACAGTAGGGACTAGAGGTTATTTTTTATTATCATTCTCACAACAATTAAATTCCTTACAAAGTTCATGGTTCCAGAAGTTATGGCTTTGAGAATAGCAGAATTTTAAGACTTTAAATGCTAATATCTTGATCATTTTGTGTTTCATTGTATTTGCAAATAGAGTAAGAAACATTCCCGGGTTTCTCCACCAGTGAAATAACCTTCACCAGAGAGTTTCAGGGAGTGGAAGGCAGGAAGGCACTGTGGCTGACGGCCACAGTGGAAAGGGTGGCCCTGGAACAGCTGGGGTAGAAGCTGGATTCAGAGCTCTCAGACATGATGGGAACCTCAGAGCTGAGCTCTCAGGCATTTCCAGGTTTCAGGTATACAAAGAGCTGGGGTTACCCTCTGACTGCAGTCATTTTCTCTGTACCCCAGATTAGATAAGTGACGTTGATCCAGATGACTTCTAGTGGTTCCTTCCAACCGTAGTCATTCTGAGACAGGTTTCTTCTCTGCACCTCTGTGTGCTTTTTGTGACTACTAGAAGTGCAAGAGGTCTAAGTGAAGAAATGGCTCTCATAATTAACAAGGCCACTCTGATGTCTTAGCTTGTTAGTAAACCACGTTTTTAACCCAGCTGATGCACCATGCTTACAGATTACTGGAGTTGCAGTCACTGGATGCTTCATCTTTTTGTTACAGAATAGTTTAATCCCTTCTTTACCAAAATGGAGTAAAAATATTTCCTATCACAAGGAATTGTATGCATTTCTTTTGCATTTAAATTTTAGTATCTGATATTATTTTTCCCAAGATACTGATCTTTTGTTATTCGTAGCAGTAAAATTAACTTTCATCTAGACACAGTCCTGAGCAAGCTTTTCTATGTGCCTTTGCTTGAGATGACCTCCAGAGGTGCTTTCCAACTTCAACCATTCTGTAAACTTACCCCACAGATGGATGTACTTTGCATATTCACCTCTGTGGCCACAGATATAATAGAATCCTTTAGTGTCTGACAGTCAACAACTTCTGAGCCCAAACTCCATGACATGTAGGTCTGGAGTAAGGACCCACTGATATTGTGTCCCATTCCTTCAGAATGGGATCCAGAGACAGCAAATTAAAAAGAGAAATGTTTAAAAAGCCAATTATGGAGGAGTAGCCTAGAAGATTTTTGTGCTCTGCTGATTTTAGTAAATGCTGTTAAAAATTTCCTCATCACTAATGAGCAATGAAATGCTGCATAATTTGTATTAGATATGACTATATCATTCTGCTTTTACACACTAATATAGAACAAATATATATATATTCAACAAATTAATATTTCCATATATTAAAGGGCTGTATGATCCTTAGAATCTTTAAGATTTCTGTGCTTCATAAGGTGCAAATTTTTTTCTGACAATCATTTCTACCCCTGTAAGCAGTACATTTCTATTTGCCACAGTTAGCATCCCTTGAGACAAGGACGGAAGCTGATATTGATCATTCATTTCACAGATGAGTGCTCTGTGATAGTGAGCTATTATGTAGAGGATAGTTTGCAGCTGGTGTGCCATGACTACTTCAAAAAGATTGTTTACAAATGTGTGGTCAGATGATCAGAAATTTAACCAATTATCTCTTAAGAGCTACTGTTCAATTTATTTGGCTGCATGCATTTTCCTAGCTTATTATACCCACTTTAAATTGATGCACCTTGGCAGTGCTCAAG